AAGAAAGAAAGAAAGAAAGAAAGAAAGAAAGAAAGATAGATGTTTTTTTTATGCTGAAAGCTTGTACCACATTTTCTAGCACAGAACCAAGCCAAGGTTTTTTTTCCTGCATTGAAGTGCTGCAAAGTGGTCATGCTTTACTATTAAGTGGGGCATAGACAGATCAAACTTTGGCTGGTGCAGCAAGCACCGACTGAATTTTGATCTATGTGTGGCCCTCCTTTGTTTGACATAAGTTAATCATTACATCAATTTTTTTCTGCTGGAAAACTTTTGTCGATCAGAGGCTTCATTGTCAGAATACAATGTTTCAGTGGGGGAATTCCTCCATCCACATTGCTTGCGTGGATGAAGCAAACCATTCGTTTGTCTATGTCCAGCTTTAGGCTAGCTTCACTATGTGTTGTGGTAAGGTGCAATAAAAAAACTAATTTAGAAGGGGACCCAAACATCACTGAACTGCTTTGCATTTTGGTGTGCTGTGTTAAATTCATTCTATGTTTAATCATCTCTAAGGTATGGGCTGCCTTAATGCAGTGCACATTAAAGTTCATAACAGAATGTACGAATGTGAAGGGGCCCTTACTGCCCTCACACTGTTTAAAATCAATACACACTTTTTGTAGTCAAATGGTTTTATCTCAGCAATGGTTCAGCAGAGATGTTGGTCAGACTTCCAAACAGATACCAGAGGGAACATTTAAAATCTATAATTAATCCATATATTAAACAACAAACATATAAAAGACACATCAAAAACCAATTTCAGATAACAATGATGGAATATCTGTCAAGTCACTGTGTCCTTTTTAAGGAAAGTAACTACATTTTTTACTTGTTTGAATTTAGTGATTTCAGTAATTACTTTTTTCCTTTTAAAATATATTGTTTACAGAAAGTTCAGAGTTACAAACTGTGTGACCTAAATGTCATAAAAGCTTTAACATGTTAATATAATTCCATAGCTTGTGTTCAATTATTTAAATCTGCAGCACTCTTTAAAAAATACCCAGTGATCCTGCCAAGAACGTCCTTCCTCAAACACTTCCTGGGATTGTGTGACAACAATCTCGCAGTTGTGCTCCTGTGTTGTCATCCTGTTACATATAGTATGTCGCTTGTATACACTACAAGCCACTGTGCTGACACACTTTATACAGAGGAATGATGTGCAGCCAACACTGCACTGAATGTACAATATGTGGGCAAGAAGGGGGAGATTTACTAAAGCTGGTTCACTCAGAATCTTGTGCAGCTGTGCATGGTAACCAATCAGCATCTAGCTTCAGATTCTTCAATTAAACTTTGGCAATAAAACCTGGAAGCTGATTGGTTTTTATGCAGACGTGAACATGATTTTACACTCTCCAGCTTTAGTAAATAACCCCCAAAATGTCTGAAAGAGGTTGAAGGATATCAGCAGCACTGAGATAGAAATAAGGATGAAAAAGTAGTAAACAATATTTAGGGTGTTTTTGTCATAATATATTGTTTATGATAACACAGAGTATGAGCACCACTAAATGTCATCCAGTTTGGTTTTACATCTAGTTTAACCCTCAGCCAACTGCTGCACATCTATTACTGTACATGTGATATATCACCAAATGAATTTATAATTTTAAAAGAGAGATTCGGATTGATCTGTCTCTGAAAGAAATGATGACCTATTTTTAACAAAATGAGAGGTTAAGAATACTTAGAACTTGTTAATTATACAAAGTCTTAATATCTCCATCCCAAGTGTTATAACGAACCATAACATCATTAGAAAAATTAAGCTGGAAAAATGAAGACAACGCTTTGTAAATATCCAGTGGAAATTGGCTAAAAAGGCAGCGTAATGCAGGATCAAAAGAGGGAAATGATCCTTAACAGTGCCCTAGGGCAACCACTTCCACAGTATTATATCCACAGCAACTTATTGCTTCTATGGAGAGTTTTCTATTAAATGGGGTTAGATCATTTGCCATTTTAACTTAAAAAGCGCTGTTCTGATTATGAAATTTTCTACAGCATAATTAAAATGACTGCAACAGACAGAAGAAGCATTCAATCAGTTATTGTGGATTTATAATCCAGGTTTAACGTTAACAGAACTTTAAGTTGAAATCAGCTGTTTTCCAGGTACATCCAAATAAAAGGTGTGCGAAGTCTAAGGGCTCACGCACGCAGACGTATCCGCCAATACAGTGTACAGAAATGGGTGTATATTAGTGCCTGGTAGCCCCTGGTGTTGTATACAGCCACCCACAGACATAAATGGTTGAAGGTAGTGGTACACAGCTATGTGCTGCTACTTGCATAAAGTGACACATGTGCACAGATGTAATATCCCAAATGCAGGTAGTTTGTGTACGGTGTATGCACATCTGTGCGCATTTGTTGTTATTTACACTGTATGGATGAATGTGGATGCGCATGAATCCTTACAGTTTATATTCTTAGGAAAGCAGTCACAGCCTGAGTTGGAAAGTCTGTCCCCTGCCAGTATGCTCAGTGCCGTGGGTAAGGAGGTACCATCAGTCCTCCTGTATGGGGCCCAGGCCACCAGGGGGGCCCAGGCAGCTTCGGGAATCAGATGTGGGCAGGGAAGGTGAGCGGCACAGTGGTTGGAACTGACCCCTTGTATGGCTCTCTCTGCAGCAGCTGAAAGCTGCCTTCTTCTCCTCTCCCTCTTGCTGGCTTTCAGCTGCTGCAGAGAGACCCATACAGGGGACTGGTTCCAGTAATCACCCTTCCGCCACAGCTATCACCCTCCCTGTACACCATACATTTCCCTGGACTGCCCAGACCCCTGTCTGTGCCCCCACCCCCACAGTGCTGCCAGCTTCTCTCCTCTCCTTTTCACCGGTAGGTGCAAGCACGCAGTAGGATCGTTCAGGATGGAGAGTGAGGGAAGGGGCCGGCGCATGTTACATTAACCAGCCCCTTTCTTTCCTGAATGAACACAACGAGTGATCGGTACTGATTAGTCACTGTGTCCATTCATGACTGAAGTATAGTAAACTTTTTTTTTTAGGGCGAGGCTGTCAGGTTGGCTGTATGGGGCCCCGTAACTGTATGGGGCCCCATGGATTCTAACAGCAGCCCTGAGCATGCTACAGAGAAGGATTCTGTACCTAGTGGTCTCTCTCTCTCTCTATTGAGGTTCAACATACCCTCTCCTGAGCCAGATCTAGTGCTCTAATCAGTAGGGAACATGAATTTTGGAGACCACAACATTCACATGAAGGGCAAGAGTTCTCTGCAGCATGCTGGCAGGGGACTGGCTTTGGTGCCAGAGTTTACTGCCCTTCTGAAAAGTGATCTGCGGTGAATTGCATTTCAAAGGCAATGGTTTGCAGTTACTGCTGTCTCCTGAATGACTGTTTTTTTTTCTGATCCCCAGGGAGAGACAATGCCGCAACCTTATGTCAAGTGGTTGGCACATGTTTACAGCACAGTCCCTTAGACTTTGATGGGTGTTGTTACTGGCCCCCAACTGCCTATCTAGAAAATAACATAATCGTCTTTCAGGCCACAATGTATCGGTTTGCAGTGCGGCAAATTTTACTTGTTATGTCACATTTGGTAGGCGATGCTGCTTGCCCTACTCTATCTAAACTATCTATAATCAATTTTCAGGTTTTATTTTGCTTATTTTTAGATAAAGTAGGGCAAGCAGCATTGCCCACCATACGTAGCACCCCAAGTTAAATTTGCCACACTGCAAACAGAAGCAATGTGGCTGTGGCAGTGTGTATGGACATGACCAGCTACCATATTATTTTCTAGATATGCGGTTGGGGGCCAGTAACAACGAAGAACAAGCAGCTGCTTTTACCACCCCTCTGTGGCCTTTGTGCCTTGGGACCTTGCCCGCCTTTTGTTTCGATGCACCTGAAATGTGCTTAGCTGACTTATACAAAAAGGTAAATTTGGCTTTGACTCTCCTTTAGGTCTCGTTCACACTATACTTGCAGAAAAACTGATGGAAACTGATGCGCAGATTTCACTTGCAGAGACATCAGTTTACATCAGGTTTCATGTGCTCGTCAATGAGTTTTATACACATTTCCGATTTTTGCACAGAAAAAAATTTGCATGTGATACTAGTGTTGTGGTGTGAACAGGGCAGTTAGAGAACAATAGATTTTGTTGTGTCTTTGCACCATGGTGTGAACAGGTGAAGTTAGGAGGAATATGAGAGCGGATGAGAATTTTGGGGGGGATAGTAAAGTTTTCCTTATCTATTTATATTTTTTATAATTAATTTTTGGGTTTTGTTTTTTTTTTTATGTTTAGATAGAGTAGGTTAAAACCTCTGTCAGCTACTACTCATGATTTTAGAATGGGGTGTTAAACAAGCTATTTGCCAGTAGATGTGATGATCCCCTGTCCACAAATATTTGGCCATATATATTTGGTTGTGAATACTTGTTAGTCAATCTAATAACCAGATGACCTTTGGGGTTACCAGAACCTACAGGGTTTTTTTTTTTTACCTTTGACTACACTAAGAAGCACCCATTTATTTTTTCAAGACAGTTACTGTATTTCTGGAAAAAAAAATTGTTCCACTCACATGTCATCCTGAAAGCCCTTTGCCCACTCCTGCCATTTAATCTTCTCTCTTGCCTCCTCCATGGAAGTGAATGATGTGGCCACTCTCAGGGTTGGCTCCAGAGGCTTGTAACGCTGGTGCAGTACTTCGCCAACATCACGGAACGGCCCCTGATGGGTTCAATATTGTATAAATATTTAATTCAATTTGCACAATGCAGTATAACATGTCTACCTCCAAATAACAAAAATGAAATAGAAACAGGGCAAACATAAGCATCTCATAAGCATTCCACATAAGTATAATGATTTATGATGGTATTGTGTTATTCATGAATAAGATCAGTCAAGACTGTTTCTCGCAGGGGCGGACTGACCATTTGGAAACTCGGTACTTCCCGAGGGCCGGGGGTCAGTAAGGTGCCCCATGAGATGCCCCGGTACCTTTTTCATAGGCTTTTTTGAGTTTGGGCAAGAACACAGGGGCCCCATGATCCCCTATTGCCTGGGGGCCCCATGAGTTGTCAATCTGCCCATGGTTTCTCGTTACTTATGAAAAACTTTTTGGGGTTTGGAAAAGTACTATTCCTACTGCAGGTTGCAGCTCTGCTACAGCCAAAGAAATCGTTCAGCAAACTTAACTATACCTCTATGACTAATTTAACTACCTAAAAATGTTTTATATTATTTTTAAGTACATATATAAGCTGAAAAATAGAAAACAATGTGTGTTTAACCTTAACAGCTTGTAACAATTGTTTTTAAACTTCTTTTAATTAATGTACTTTTTTACAGGTTGCATTGGTTCACACGGAATGTGATTTCAAAGTGGTGCGATTTGGTCCTATTTAACCACTTGTTGACCACGCTATAGCCAAATGATGGCTAGAGCGTGGTTATCCAGTTCTGGGAGGGCATCATTTGATGTTCTCCCAGAACTGCGCCCTCCCGTCCGCCCCCAGCTGCACGCACCTGGTGCTCTCTGTGATTGCCGTGTCCTTTGGACAAAGCTGATCACGAGCCACAGTAAAGGGCCAATCACAGCATCTATTTACCTCATGATCAGTGTAAACACACTTGCCGGTTATAGGCAGTACTTTCCCCATGCTGTCACAGCGTGAGGAAAGTACTGCCGATAACTGGCAAGCGTGAAATGAGACATCTACACAGTGTTGCCTCAAAAGTGCCCAGCAGTGCTGCCAATCTGTGTCCAGCAGTGCTGCCAATTTGTGCCCAGCAGTGCTGCCAGTCAGTGCCACCTATCAGTGCCACCTTTCAGTGCCACCGGTCAGTGCCCTTCAGTACTGCCTATTAGTGCCCATCAGTGCCGCCTATTAGTGACCATCATTGTAGCCTATAAGTACCCATCCGTTCCGCATATCAGTGCAGCCTCATCAGTGCCTCCTCATCAATGCCCACCAGTACTGCCTCTTTATTGCTGCCTATCAGTGCCCATCAGTGCTGCATCATCAGTGCCCATTAGTGCTGCCTATCAGTGCCCATCAGTGCAGCCTCATCAACGCACATCAGTGAAGGAGAAAAATTACCTGTTTGCAAAGTTTTATAATAAAAACTAAGAAAAAAGAGAAAAGAGAAATTTTTTTGTTCAAAATTTTTGGCCTTTTTTCATTTGTTTAGCAAAAAACAAAACACTCAGTGGTGATTAAAGCGGTTGTAAAGTCTCAAGGTTTTTACCTTCATGCATTCTATGCATGAAGGTAAAAAAATCTTCTCTGTGCAGCCGCTTCCCCAGCACCCTCTATTACTCACCTGAGCCCCATCTTGATCCAGCGATGTGTACTGGATTCTTGGCAATCCCAGGACTCTCTCTCTCTGATTGGCTGAGATAGAAGTGGGAGTCATTGGCTCCTGCTACTGTGAATCACAGCCAGTGAGCCAATGAGAAGATAGAGGGGGCGGGGCCAAGCCATGGCTCCATGTGTGATTGGATGAGGGTATAGGTAATAAGGAAGGATAGGTGGGTGTTCAAGAAAGCTAAGGGATCACAAAGAAATTAATATGGTGAAATCAATGTGGAAACCCAGTCTTTGTGAATTAGAACACATACCTTTAGTGAAGATGCTTGTTCATAGTCCAATTAAAATAAAGAAAAAGTGACACAGAAAGTTGCATATCTCAGGGTTTCTCAACCAGGAGCTCCATGAGAGGTCCATATTGGTTCTGCCACTGTTACATTGGATTCATATTCACCCAACTGTGATTTTAGTGTTTCTCCTGCTGGCTACCACTGTGATAAGTCCATGTCTACCTGATGATGCCTACAGTATGTATCACTGTGGCAGACTGAAATCTGCCAAACAGTAAGATCTTCTGACTCTCAGGTATATATCATGTGATGGGAACATGCTGAATACCAGTATAAAGTAGTTTTACCACCAAACACCACTGAAAGCCAATAAAAAAATGTATTCTTGCCACAGAAATAAATATCTGTGCAGCAAAAATGAAGCAGAGATTTTACATGAAAAAAGGCGTATTTTATTATTATTTCTAAAACTTACTGATCAGTCTATCCCACTGTGAACTGTAGCTCTAAAAAAATATTTTATGGGGTTCTTCGAGTCTGAACATTTTTTTTTTGGTCAATAGTTTTTACTTTTAGGATGCCACAGTATAGACATAGATAAATATACAGAGGTGACATCAAGACTAGTCAGCAAAGGAATTTGGAGGGTTGTAACGTATCCAAACAAAATTGGTATACATTAGTTCGTGATAGTTGGCACTGAATATTTAAGAGAAAATAAGAAGGAAGGAGGGCAGGGGGAAGCACCCCCAAAATTTATGTATTAATCATAAGGGCAAATTCAAAGCTACATATTTCAAAGATGCATTGGATGTCGATCAAAATCAGGTGGCAAAAAAGGTAAATGGAAGTGTTCCATGTTTTTTGGAACCTACGCATTGTATCCATAGATATTGCCATCCATTTTTTCATTAGCAAAGGTCCAATGTATCCTATTTTTATCAGCTGTTAGAAAAAGGGAATCTGATAACCAGGCTTTTGCTAAGGTTTGCTTAGTTGCTGTGAGAGCATGTTTCATCGGCCTATCATCGCATTTTGAGAGCCCATCTAGTTCTAAGTAGAGCATCTGTGCCTGAACATTTTTCAAGACTTCCTCCAACTTAATAAAGGTTGAGAAAGGTTGCTCTAAATAGTTCTGTCCATCTCTCATATACAGTGTGGCAAGAATGTGTAAGTTATATGAAAGGCTGAACAAAATTACAAATATTTGGGCTGATAACACAGGACTTATATGTATTTCAACTGAGCATTTGGTGGCCTGTCTGGAATTCCTCTTTAATCTCTGAAAATAGAAAAAAGATTCCCTTTGAGAACCCGTTTTACATATCCTTTTGGCTTATCAGTAACCAGTCACAGCTGGGCATCTAGTGAAGAAGAGTATTAGGATGGTTCTGTCAATAGAGAAGGTGTGTTTAAATGCCATCAAATGATCCGCGTGCCACTTCATTCATATGTGACAGTACAGAAAGCAATGACAGAGCAGAGCAATGCTGGTCATCATCAGATTTTAAAGGGTCAGACCCAAACCTAATATCCCAGTTGTTGGTATTTGATAGAAAAGTACAGTGTATCTAAGGATCAGTGTATCTAGTTTTACAAAATATTGAGGGTGCAAGAACACATTAATCATGTTCATTTTTTTTTCTATTTAAAGGCGTGCAACAGGTTACAAAAAATTTAAACATTACATAAGTTAACCACTTGCCTACAGGGCACTCCCCCCCCCTTCCCCTCTCAGGCTTTTCAGCTTTCAGCGCTGTCGCATTTTGAATGACAATTGCGCGGTCATGCGCAAATTTTTTATCATTTTTTTCAACAAATAGAGCTTTTTCTCTGGTGGTATTTAATTGCCACTGGGGTTTTATTTTTTTCACTGTAAATGAAAAACAGCAAAAAAAATTTATTATAAAATTTTCCAAACAAGTAATTTTTCTTCTTCACTGTTGTGCATTGATGAGGCTGCACTGATATGCAGCACTGATGAGGTGGCACTGATAGGTAGCACTGATGAGGCAGCGCTGATGAGACGGCACTGGTGGGCATTGATGAGGAGGCACTGATGATGCACTGATAGGCAGCAATAATGGGCACTGATAGGCGGCACTGATGGGCTGGACTGAGGGCAGCACTGACTGATAGCTCCGACTGCAGGCACTGGCCGACGGCACTGCTGGTCACTGATGGGCGGCACTGCTGGCCAGCACTGATGGGCGACACTGCTGGGCACTGATGGGCGGCACTGCTGGGCACTGATGGGTGGCACTGCTGGGTGACACTGCTAGGCACTGCTGGGCAGCATTGTTGGGCACTGCTGGGAAGCACTGATCAGGGCACTGATCATTAGTGCCCTGATTATTAGTGCAGATCTCCCCTGTCACATTTGCCGGTTATCGGCAATACTTTCCTCATGCTGTGACAGCGTGAAGGAAGTGCAGCCGATAACCGGCAACTGTATTTACATTGTGATCTGCTGAGTCATTGGACACAGCTGATCACGTGTCAAAAGGCCACTGTGATTGGCCTTTTACCTTATCACGTGATCAGCTGTGTCCGTAGGACAAACCGACCACCGACAGCTCCGGGTGCGCGCCACTGGGGGCACGCAGGGAGCACAATCTGGGAGGACGTCAGTGGACGCCCTCCCAGAACTGGACAACCATGCTGGAGCCATCTTTTGGCTACAGTGCAGTTGGGAAGCGGTTAAAGCAGTGTTTCTCAACCTTCTAAAATGTGAATAACTATTCTAATAGTTTTATATAACGCAGCAACATCCACACATTTAGGACAACATTAGAGGTGATTTATTCTTCCTAAGCAAAAACACTTTTTCACACTGGTACTGAGTAGTATTCCAATGTTTCTCTTCTCCCTCAGTTTTTCTCCATCACTGAGTCAATGTGGCCCCAGCGCTGATGGAGAGGGCAGGGGAGGGTCAAACTAGGATGCTGTGCAGGCAGCTGACATCCTCCTTATCAACTGATGATGTCATGGGTTGTCAGGACGCCGGCAGCTAGAAGGTTGTAATGGTGCACAATGAAAACCTGTGGCTTTGTGTAACTAAAAGGCAGGCTCAGGGGCGGACTGACAACTCATGGGGCCCCCGGGCAATAGGGGATCATGGTGTCAAAACTCAAAAAAGCCTATGAAAAAGGTACCAGGGGCATTCACGGGGCCCCCTACTGACCCCGGGCCCTCGGGCAGTGCCCAAGTTTCCAAATGGTCAGTCCGCCCCTGGGCAGGCTTGATCCATCTGCTGGGTTGTATACAAGTTTTGGGAAATTTTTAGACATTTTACCAAGGCGCTCCTGAAGAAACCTCAAGGCACCCCAGGGTGTCTGGGCACGCTGGTTGAGAAAGGCTGATTTAAAGAGTAGGATTTCCAATCAAATACAAGAAAGTCACAGAAGGCCATTCAAATGTGGTAGCAGCCATACATATAAAAAGTACAACATATGGAGTAATACAAACAGTTGTAACCACTGCTACCTTATCAAGGTATCACAAGGAGAATAGACGTCTAACAGTAGGAAAAATCATTACGTCCCTGGAACTGCACGAGGATGGAACCAGATTTAGTAAGGTAGCCTAACATAAAGGA